TTCCCCACCACCTTCGCCCACCTGGAACTTCTCCGCCTCCCCGCGCTGCTCCTGCCACTGCCGGGCCAGGCTCTCCTCCAGCATCTCCTTCCGTGCTTTGAGCCCCGCCAGGTCCTTCTCCAGGTGCTGCAGCTGCAGCTGGCTCTGCTGGTTGTCCTCCACTGCCTTCCAGAGGTTCTCCTTGGCCTGGCAGAGGGAACCTTCCAGCTGCGACACCTCCGTCTTGTAGGTCTCCACTGCCCCTTTCCAGATCTCTGAGAGCCTCCCAGGCTCTCCTCCAGCATCTCCTTCCGTGCTTTGAGCCCCGCCAGGTCCTTCTCCAGGTGCTGCAGCTGCAGCTGGCTCTGCTGGTTGTCCTCCACTGCCTTCCAGAGGTTCTCCTTGGCCTGGCAGAGGGAACCTTCCAGCTGCGACACCTCCGTCTTGTAGGTCTCCACTGCCCCTTTCCAGATCTCTGAGAGCCTCTTGGAGTAGTCCTCCACCTCCACTGGCTGGAAAGCCACCGGGGCACAGCGGAAGCTCTCCAGGCTCTGCGAGAAACTCGCAATCTCCTGGTCCAGCCCTGCTTTCTCCTCCTCGTGCACCTCCAGCAAGGCTTCCACCTCCTTCTCCAGCTGCACGGCTCTCTCCTTCAGCCAGATCTGTGCCCTCCTCTCCTCCTCCAGCTCCTTCTTGCTTAAAGACAACTGCTTTTTGGCTTCTTCTCGGGCTGCCTGCTCCTTCTGGCACCTGCTTTTCACCTGCTGGACCTCCTCGTAGAGGTTGTCCCTGGCCAGCTCGGCCGTGCACTTCTCCCTGAAGGCATGATCCAGCGCGTCCCGCAGGGCTCGCAGCTCCTCTTCGTACTTTGCCCGCCACGATTCCCCGGCGGGGCTGCCCTTGGCGCTCTGGATTTCGGCTCGTAGCACCTCATTTTCCTCCTCCAGGAACTTCACGCGGGCCAGGTACGCCTCCAGCCGCTTGTTGAGGTCCCACATCTGCAGCGATTCCTCGCCCAGGGCTCTCGCCCCCGTGAAACTTTCCGTGCTCAACATCGGCGCTGCCGGAGGATGCCGGGGCTCTGGTGCCGGCGCTGCCAAAAGGATGCTGGGGAGGATGCCGGAGCTCGGGAAGGAGAGGGAAGGCAGGGAGGGAAGCGAGTGCTGGGAGCGGAGGGGAGCGCAGCTATTCATACTCCACGCAGGGCGAGTGGGAGGCCCCTGAGACCCGGGTGAGCAGCGGGGCTTAACTCTTCCGCAGCCAGG